AACTTTTTCCATAACAACACCTACTCTCCCACGCATTCGTCGAAGTTCTGCGTGGCCCTGAAGCCGATGATGGAGTAGATGACGGTGGCGGAGTACACGGAGGTGCAGCCGTTGATGATGGCGATGATGACGGCGTCCTGTTCGCAGTTGTTGCTGAAAGGAGAGGTTATAGTTAGCTCAGATTAGCTCAGGCCCGTGTCAGAGGAGGGATTCTGGGAATTCGGGGCTTTACTCACTGAACGGAGTTGTAGCTGGAGAAAGAGATGAGACCTCCGAAGGCCAGCGAGAAGGAGTAGAACACCTGAGCCCCCGCGTCCAACCAGGTGGAGGGATTTATCAACTCATCTATCTGGAACAGAATCAGTGGACATTATTGAGAACAAATATCACTTTCTATGGAATGTTTTGGAGATAAACATTGACCATTGAACTGTTATGATTGTTGTTGATAATCATGGAGTAAAGTTTTTATTCTGGGACTGAGCTTCAGTGAGACCAAACACAGCAGAAACCTGTAACTGCTGTTTTCTGGTTTTCTGGTCAGTAGATGAGCTGGATACGATTAACAGGAAAAGTCTTTGGAACATTAAGAAGTAGGATTTACCCTTAGTTTACTGTATATCAACCCTCTTAATCAGCTATTATCAGAATTGTCGTTAAAGTTTACGGCAGACAGCGTCGTAAACTCCTTATCTCCGGTCACTCGTGGCTGTTATCTGAGGTTTTTGCTCACCCCAGGACACCAAGTCTTCAGATTAGCAAAGCAGTAAAAGATGAGCTAAGCTATTACGGAAAAAAGGGCTATTTCGGGCGCAAGATAAGATGGATGCTGTATCTTTCTTCTTTCGGTAAGTGTGAGATCTAACAGATCCAGCTGTGCATGGACATGTAGAAAGTTCTGGGATTCTGCATCAGATATCTGAGAGGTTTTATCAGCTTGAGGATTTTGAGTGCAAAGAAGGAAAAACAGGGAAGCCTGATTTCCCTCGAACATAAAAAAAACCTGCCATTTAACAGAAAATGAATGAACTGAAACTACAGAAAAAAGTGTCTTACATCCGGTGTGAAGAGGAACTTTATTCCGTCTACGGATCCTTTGAGGGTGAGCCCCCGTATGAGGAAGATGGTGAGGACCACGTAGGGCAGGGTGGAGGTGACGTACACAGCCTGAGGAATGAAATCACAACATGTAATCCAGTGTTTTTCAACCTTTTTTGAGCCAAGGTACATTTTTTCATAGAAGAAATCACGAGGCACACCACCAACCAAAAATGTCAAACAAATCTGTATCCGCCTATAGTAACACTATAGTTATTCTTATTTTATTCTAATCTTATCTTAAGTGTCTCGAATAGGAATCAAATAAACACAAAAATTTATTTTTATCATATTTCATATTTCTTCTTTCAAATTGCTCTTAACATGTCCACTTCAATATAAAAAATTAAATACAAAATCTAGTCATAAGGAATTATTACATGATTACTCCACCAGTCACTAGAACAGCACACACACTCAGAAATGGAATATTATTTGCAGGTAATTAATTCCTTATCAAAAAATCTTTTTAGACCAATGAGGTGAAATAGGATGATTTTCTACACCTGACCATCACTAACGGCACACTAGTGTACCGAGGACCAGGGGTTAAAAACACTGATGTAATCCAACCGTTCAGCAGAACCCCCATTTTAAACCGACCGATCTTTCCCCCCTCCCAGACCTTTCCGGTGGTCTCGATTCCCCGGATGCAGCAGACGTAGAGCAGCGTCCAGGCGGCGGCCAGAGACAGAACCATCCACCACTGCAGGCCCCCGGCCGCGTCTATGGCCGTGGACACGTTCAGGGTCTCCCGGTACCAGAAGTAGTCCGTGGTGGTACTCCGGGCGCATTCCTCCACCAAACCTGCAAAAACAAGGTTAGGTTGAGAGCAGAGATGTTCAGTAACGAAGTAGAGCTACTTAAGTACCAAAATGCAGTATCTGTACTTTATTGGAGTAGATATTTTTTCCCCTACTTTTACTTTTACTCTACTACATATTTTTGATTATTACTAATTATTAGTAAGAATTATTAATACTTTTACTCCGATCGATTTTTCACGGGCTGAATAGTTTCTCGTTACTGATATGTTAACGTAATGATAGATAGTTCTGTCAGGGTTTGGGAAGCTGGCTCCTC